ACCCCCAGTGTGGGAGGAAATCTTCACCAGCAACACATCTGACAGAGGTTTAATGTCCAGAATGTATAATGAACTCAAAAATCAAAGAATCAAGAAAGGAAGTAACCCAATTAAAAGATGGGGTGAATTCAAAAAACAAAGAATCAAGAAAGGAAGTTAACAAATTAAAAACTGGGTTAAGGAGATGAACAGAGAGTTGTCAAAGAAATAAAGATGGCCAAGACGCATCTTAAAAGGTGTTCCACATCATTAGTAATTAGGGAAATGCAAATTAAAACCACTTTAAGATTTCACCTTACCCCAGTCAGACTGGCTAAGATCAAGAGAACAAATGATACCAAATGTTGGAGAGGATGTGAGTAAAGGGGAACGCTCATCCATTGCTGGTGGGGCTGCAAACTTGTTCAACTTCTATGGAAAGCAATGTGGAGAACTCTTAAAAAACTACAAATGAATCTACCATTTGACCCAGTTATACCACTCCTTGGCATATACCCAAAGAACTCATTCTATTGCAGAGACACTTGTACATCCATGTTTGTTGCTGCTCTTTTCACAATAGCTGAGAGATGGAAGCAACCTAAGTGTCCTTAGCTGATGAGTGGATAACGAAAATGTGGTTCATTTATACGATGGAGTTTTACTCAGCATTAAAGAAAGATGAAATCATGAAATTTGCAGGTAAATGGATGGAACTAGAAACTGTTATACTAAGTGAAGTAACACAGACTCAGAAAATAATGACATATGTTCTCCCTCATATCTGGATCCTAGGACCAAATCCTGGTGAGTATGTATCCAGACAAAACTACAGGAACCAGGATAATGAAAAGGAACCAGGGAGAAAAATGAAGTGAAAGAATCTGAAAGAGAAGAACAGTAAGAAGCAGGTGTTAATAAGGGAGAGATGGATAAAAATGGTGTTATTTTAAGGGGAGAGGGGAGGGAAGGTTATACAAGGAACCTTGGGGATAAAGGGAAAGGTGGAGCTGAAGAGAGATGGGACCATAGGAGAAGGGTATTATTAAGAGAGAAGGGAAAAACGGGGGCACTTTAAATGGGGAAACCATGGTAGAAGGGTTAGACAATGCGAGAGAAAAATAATGCCTAGCTAGTTTTAAAGAAAAAAACCAGAGGGAACCATATTAATCAAACAACTTACTGACAAATTATACATACAGCTAGCTCAAGGAATATATGTCTAGGCAAGGTTTTTCTGAGAACATTTGGTCTTTGCCCAAGCTTTATCTACATAGCACATGGTAATTAAAAGTACCAGACAGGTGGAACTAACCTTCTTGGATATCTAACAGCCATACTTTAAGGCATATACGAATTTGGTCAGAGGGACAAAAAGGACAGTTTTTGCTTCTTGCCCTGCTAGTCGTGAGAGAGAGAGAGAGAGAGAGAGACCCAGTGTCCATCTGTTCTGCATGTGGGCATACATATACTCCCACACATATGTACATATGCATCCCCCCCCCCAAGCACATATTCACAAACACACCACCAACTATATGGTCTTAAACACCCAAAAGGAAAGTATAACCAAAGATTAAAGGGATCAATATAATTCTTCAAGAGTCCATTTGTATAGCTAAAAGCTCCATAACAAGAAACAATGCCAGACAGGAGATACCTTCCTTAAGTTGTTGCCCAGGGTAGCCCAAGAGACTCCCAGACATTAACCCAGCATAGAACTTGGAAAATGAACAGCACACCCCAATCTTATCTAAAGGAAAGTATAACCAAAGATTAAAGGGATCAATATAATTCTTCAAGAGTCCATTTGTATAGCTAAAAGCTCCATAACAAGAAACAATGCCAGACAGGAGATACCTTCCTTAAGTTGTTGCCCAGGGTAGCCCAAGAGACTCCCAGACATTAACCCAGCATAGAACTTGGAAAATGAACAGCACACCCCAATCTTATCTAAAGAATATTGGCAACTGATTGCTGCTATATGAAGGACAGTTGATTTTCCTAAAACAGGGACTCTGGATAGGCTGACTAGATTAAGCAGATGGACAAGCACTGGAAAACGGCTGGGGGCGCCGACAATACAGTGGACAGTAACAGGAATTACAGGACTAGTAATGATCTGATATGTAGAGATTAGAGATACATGTGCAAACATCTAAGCGTTAATAGCATTAAAAATGAGTTTTTCTAACATTACCATTGAAATCTACCTGAGAATTTATATCCATGCTCAGGTGCCAAGGGTCTCAGAAAGTAACCAACTCTGACTAATAATAATTAGATATACGGAAATTAGGGACACGTGCAAACATCTAAGAGTTACTTGCATTAAAAAAATGAGTTTTTCTGTATGAAATAGTATATTTTTAAATGAAATGGAGATCGTTTTAAAGGTTAAAACCTCATTCAATTTTATGTCATATAGGGTTTATACTGAGTTCAATATTGTATAACTGTATTAATTCAACTGTGAACCAAAAAATTTACAGTCAATTTTGAAAGAGATGCATCTTTGGTCTGGAAATTGTTATTGAATATGTTAATGCTATAATGAAATACTTCTTCTAATCATGTGGTTGTTAAATAAATAATTTTTTAAAAAATCATTAAATTCTCACCTCAGAATTTGTTTAGAGGCAGCTAAAGAAAGAAGCAGAGAGACAGTATGACGAGAAAGAGCAAAGCCTCACAAACCTGCTCACACTGTATTTGTTTTAGGATCACAAAGATGCCTGAGTTCCAAAAAACAAAGTAGATGCCCTTCCCTATTCTGGAGTTTGCCTAAGAAACAGCTCTCTGTGTTTCCGGGATGGTATTAGGGCTGCTAGCATTGTTGGCAGAGAAGCCATAAACAGCAGAGTTTTATGAGAACTTACACTGCCATTTACACTCTGAAGGCCGTGACCCATGAGGGGTTGAGACTGTCCAAAGAGGGACCCCCTAAGGACAGTTAATGAGCAGCAGTTAGAAGCCTTGAAGACAGTTCTTTTTATAACCCTCCTGTAGCTATAATTGCAGCACCTCAAGGCTAAAATAACAGTAAATATGTAGGAAACAGGCCACCAACAGAGATTTGGAAGGCTCTCCAAATGGAACCACTATGCCTGAAACGTGAAAGTAATTGCGGTCAGGGAGTCGCTTTAACATTAAGCTTGAAAACAGGCTGTTTTATAATAGAATGAATTCTCCTGCTATAATTGGTTCTCATAAATGAATCTTACATGATAGTCAGATACAAACATATTGTATTAATTACATATATACTACAAAAATAAAAATGACAGCTTGGCAGAATTTATGAAACCCACTTATACAATGCTATAAAGAATTACAATGTTTTTGGGTGGATAACGAACTTCTGTTTTGTTATCTAGGTTAAAACTGTATCAGATGTTGGAGCCCTGGGAGGATTTGACATGGAAAATTTGTTGCAATCTCTGTATGTAGAAAACAGAGCTGGATTCTTCTTTACTAAATTCTGTGAGAATTCAGGGAACAAGGTAGAAAATAATTACTTGAAATCTAAATTTATAATTTTGCCTGATTTAAAAATAAGTGGCATTGATGGTGCACACTTGTAATCCCAGCACTTGGGAGGCAGAGGCAGGCAGATCTCTGAGTTCAAGGCCAGCCTGGTCTACATAGTGCGTTCCAGGACAGCTCCTGCCACCAGGGATTCCCTGCCAAGATGGACTGTGATAAAAAAAAAAAAAAAAAAAAAAAAAAAAAAAAGAAAAAAAAAAAGTGGTATTGAAATAACTTGGTGCTCAAATCAAAATTTGACATTCAAATTCCTGTCTGATAAATTAAAATACATACTTGGTATTTAGTAAAACTGTAACTGTCTGAGTTGTATTCTCTTTGGTCTAAAATTATCCAACTAAAATTACCAAGTACAAGGCAGCTATCTATTGATATGCATTAACTAACAATAGTTTATCTCCATATAATTTTATTTCAGTATGTTTTATTTACAGTTGATTTCTATTAGTACTCTATTTTTAATGTCTAACAACTATAAATTATAATGAATAGAAACAAAATTCTTCCCAGTAATTTTTAAATCACAAACAGTATTCATATGACCTGAATGAGAAGTGATTTATTGACTCAATTATTAGAGTAATGTTTGGTTCTGCCTTGATAGACATTTACCCACATACAATTTATATTAATACATCGAACACCTTCAGATTTTGCTTTCATGCCACAAATGCATGCTTTTTAACCATTAATTAGAATATTTGCAATTCTATTATTATTCATTTTTATTTTTAAACATTTACCATTTAATGACCAATTATATGAGAGGATTACATACAAAAATATAATCCAGTGACAACACCAATAAATATTTGTATATTGCCAGTTTGTGATAGAAGATTGAAACCATCTTAAATTGGACCTGATTTATGGTAGTAGCAAGGAAACAAAACAGTTATTTTTACATTTGAAATTAGAGCTTTGTGGGGCTTTACTAATTGGGTGGTAATTTATGTACTTCTCCATCTGCAGTTGTGGAAGAACAGTGTGTACTTTTGGTTTGACCTACAAGCTTATCATCAGCTGTTCTACCAAGAAACACTTCAGCCTTTTAAAGTATGCAAGCAAGCCCAAGTAAGTAGTAAATAATACTGGTTCCCTGTGAAGCTTTAAGTACACAGGAAAATGGAAATCGTGTCTAGCCCCAAACATGAGAAAGTGGGGATTACAGGCACTGTATTGTTGTTGAAGGGTCAGTTTATTTACATGTCAGCATAGTGTTGGTTTATAATCTGATTCATGAATTTTCGGTTTTATCTGTTTTATTTGGTTTGTTCTGATTTCTTTTACTGCCAACTACTTGTTCTTTCAATAAAGAATGCTACACACACACACACCCCTTTATACCTTTGGGTTTGGCTGGGGGGATGTAAAAGAACCCTGTAGTGGAGCTACAGTGAGTCCTGGAGTGGCTGGGGTGATGGCACTGACCAGTGTTCTCTGAGCTCCCTGCCTGTGTCAGCTGTTTCACATACTGGACTGCTGTTGACTGTATGTGCACAGGCTCCATATAGGCTCCTGTGCTCCTGAGCTACATGCTGCATGAGACAGATACTCAGAGCATGGAGGAGAAACCCTGTGAGACCACCCTGAAGCACAACAAGGAAGGAACAACAACAAAACTAGAGGAGGAACAGAAGATCCTCTGCAGAAGGGGACAGAGAGTGGCCTGGGGTGGGGATTATGACTTGAGCTGGCTTTTTGTTTTTTTGTTCTTGGGCTCCTCATATCTTTTATGGAGTGAGGTCTCCAAGACTAGAAAACTGCTAACCACTTCTCTATCTGTTGATCACTGAAGTGATTCTTATAACCTCAAATAACCCATTCCAGAGGATCTTCCCCCCAATACACACTGCTGAGGAAATTAGCTTCATCATTTTATTATTTTGTAATCTTACTCAGGACACCAGAGCATACTGCTGGATGTCTGTTGCTGCTTCCACCCACCTCCCCTGACTCTGGCACGAACAACCATGCTTTGTAAATCAGTGACAGCTTTGTACTTTTTGCCCTGAGAATAAGGACTTCAGCTCCTACATAGCCCAAATGTCTCCCTGAAATCATGAAATTAATCTCTAATTTACCAGTACCATTTTCTGAGACCACACAGTTAACTTCTCCTTGTTAATCCTTTACCTGTAATTCACTGTTTATCCTCCTTCCCCTAACCTATTGCCCTTGTCTGCTCCAGCACCATCTGTTACTTTTATTATGTTTTCACTACTTAAAGAGTACTCCTCCAAAAATCTTCAGCTGCTTAGTGAAGTGAGATTTTTTTTAGTTAATAATTAACCAGATTTCGATATACTTGTAAAGAAGGAAATTCTGTTTGAGCTTTGTAGACTTAATTTCTTAGTAATGGTATGATTCAGCTGGCTCTAAATTATTGTAAAGCAGGATAGTTTGAGTTATTCAGAAATGGATTGTTCTGTTCTGAAATTGCCAAGGCCTGTAAGTCCCCCAAGGTTGATTTTTGGGAGTCAAAGCAGGAATGGAAGGAGGGAATAGTATGGAAAACTTGCTTCTTGGGGACGTGAGTTTTTAAAAAAATATTTTTATCTTGCATCTATGGTTGTTGTACTTTTCTTTGTAGGAGCCACAATAGTCTAAACTAGTCTTGAGTTTTATTATCCAAAGTTTTGTGTCTCCAGGTAGAGGAATTGTCTGTACCATAGTCTGTGTTAGTTTCACAGTATAAAATGTCCATCATTGATTGACAGTAGAAGTATTGTAAGGCTTTCATTAAAAATTTATTTATAATATAACTCTTTGAAATGATAATGCCATCAAGAGAATATATTCAACTTGCACTATGTGTTGAAGTTGCTATGAACTTGATTTTATGTTTTTCATATGTCTGCCAAGTTATATAGTCAGAGACCAAGAGTTGATGCCAAAGGACCTATGTGATTTTCTGTGTAGTTTTATTCTCCTGTGTAATATTATAGAAGTATCCACAGGTAGACTAGATGGGGAAGGGTCAGTAACAAGGACTTAAAGTGACTAACGAGTCCAAGACTGACCTAGTGTCTTGGGTATACCTTGAGGATTTCTCTGTATGGCTTTAAGAAAACAGTAAAAATTGGAAACCAGCAGAGATGGTCTTGGCAAGAAGGGGTATCACAGACATTTTATAGATATTAAGATCACTGACTCTACAACCAGCTTACCAGGGGAACATATGACACTGAGAAAATTTGAAGACTAGATTCTATACTTTCTTGACATTACTTGCTTGTAGTGAGGGAACTGACCACAGAATGAGATAGACCTGGGCACTTCTGCCTCTTGTAACTTCTGTTCTTAAATCTAACAAACACTATGTCCCAATAAAAACTGCATTTAGAATCTATCACTCTCTCTAGCATAAACCTTGATTTAAAAAAATAAAAATAAACAGACTGGAGAGATGGCTCAGCAGTTAAGTGCACTGGTTGCTCTTGTAGAGAACCGTTTCTAGCATTTCACATGGTGGCTCACAGCCATCTGTAACTCCAGTTCCATGAGACCTGACATCCTCTTCTGGCCTCTGTGGTCATTGCATACTTGTGGAAAACATACATCTCTTACAAACATGCAGGCAAAACACTCATCATACACATAAAAGAAAAATAAATAAAAATTAAAAATAAGCATGTATGATATATTCATATTATATATGCTTACAAGTGTATATCCATACTGACATACAGAAGATTTAAGAAAATGAGACATGGGGCTAGGAATTTGACTCATTTACAAAGTGCTTGCCTAGCATGTGTGAGGCCGTGGATTTAATGTCTAGCACCACAAAAAATAAATAAAATTAAATTTGAAAACAGGCAAAGTGGTTTAAAAAATCTCAGGTTTCATTTGTCTGAAAATGTCCATTTTATTCTGATGATTTAGCTCAGTATAGACTTGTAGATTTGACAGTATTTGTTGGGTTTTATTAGCATTTGTAAATTATACATAATAATGGGTATAATTATGACATTTCTGTACATGTGTACGATGTATTTTGAATATATTCACCTCCGTTAACCCCGTCTTGCCCCGCTCCATCTCTTGATGATCCCTTTCTTCTGAGCTTCCTCCCAGCACCTTGATGTTACTCTGCTCTTCTTGAGGGATCTGCTGCTGCTCCTTGTAGGGGGTGTTTTCTTGATGCTTTTACACTCTTCCCCTTGATTCTGGTGTTCTGAGTTTCACCACACTATGTTTATCACAAGAGGGTTTCATCCCCATCTAGGATCTCAGGAGTCATTCTTTTCCACCAATTCTGGAAAATCTTCAGCTGTCCGAACAGTGTTGGTACTTTGTAATATGTCTCATTTCTCCTTTAATCTCTGTAATTTTCCCATCATCTAATATCTATTGTATATTGTAAATCTTAGAAGATTGATTTCTTTGATCTGTTTCCCAATTTATATATTATTGCTTTAGTAGTTTTCATTTTGCTATTCAACCCACCAATTGAGTTCAATCATTTTAGGAATTATGTCTTTTATTCTTGAAGGTTGTATTTGTGTTTTACGACTTCCTGGTTGTTCTAGTTTGTTTCTCCATTGTTGTGACAAAATACTCTGACCAATACCAACTTGGGGAGGAAAGGGTTTATTTATTTAGCTTACATCTCCTGGTTCATAGTTCCTCTCTGAGGGAGCCCAAGGTAGGAACTCAGGGCAGGAACCTGGATGCAGGAGCTGGAGTTGACCATGGAGAACACTGCTTACTGGCTTGCTCCTCCAGCCCTCATTCAACCTGCTTTCTTATACAACATAGGCTCACCTGCCCAGGGGTGGCACTACCCACAGTGGGCTAAGGCCCTCCAACATCACTCAATAATCAAAAAGATGCATCACAGATATGGCCACAGGCCAGTCCAATGGAGGCAATTCCCCAATTGAGGCTCCTTCAACCCAGGTGTGTCAAGTTGACACTAAAGCTATCCAGCACAATTGACCCCTTGTCAACTTGACACATGAACACATTATTAAACCACATCCTTTCTAGTTCTTGTCCCCAAGATAATGATGTTAACATTAATATCAACATAAGACATAATAACATAACAACATAAGACAATGCAACCTTAGAAACCCCACAGTCCTTTAAAAAAATCCAAACACTTAAAAGTTCACAGTCTCTTTTAAATGGCTCTTAACTGTGGACTTCTGTAAAATCCAAAACAAGTACAGTCTTGTTTCAAAGGGAAGAATCAGGCACATTTAAGCAAAACCTAAGTCCAGAAAAGTAGCTCAAGGCTGGACATCTGGGATTCACTCACGGTCTTCTGGCCTCCAAAGAGTTTTGGCAGCTCCACTTCTCTGACTCTGCCACCCACAGCTCACACAGCTCATCTCACAGAGCCAGGCTGACTCCATTCCACACCTGCTGCTGCCCTTGGTGGTCTTCCCATGGTCCTGGCATCTCCAAAAAGCTGGGGTCTCCACTGAAACTGAGGTTGCACCCTCACCAATAGCCTTTTCTTGCCTCTTGGGGGTACAACAGCTCAGATTCTCTCCATGACCCCTTCAATCCTGGGGTCTTCACTGCAGCTGAAGCTGCACTTTTACCAATAGCCTTTCCTGTCCTTTCAGGGTACCAAGCCTCAGCTGCTCTCTGTGACCCCTTCACGCTTTCAACACCAGAACCATGCAGGAGACTCTTACACATTACTGAGTCCTGCTTTCAGCTTGAGATGGAGGCTTGGGCCTCCTCTGGACAACTGCTTCTGTGCTGACACTGAGGAGATACTTCCCAGAAGATTTCACTAGTGATGCTGGTCTCTTGTTACTTACAGCTGATTCTTCAGCCCCAGCCAACCAGAACCTTCAGATTCTCAATTCAAAATCTCACACAAACAGCCCTGATAGTCTCTGCTTCTCTTTGAAGCTTCACAAGCCAGGCCTCCATTGTCTACAACTTTTTCAGCACAAGTGTTCCAAGTTCCACAGCACCACTCAATGGCTTTTCCAGCCCAAAATTCCAAACGCTTTCATAATCCTCACCAAAACACCCAGATCAGGTCTGTCACAGTAATACCCCATGATTCTGGTACCAATTTCTGTTCTAGTTTATTTCTCCACTGC